CTTTCAAGTCAGAAAGTCTATTTTCACTTTCACGCAAACGGTTTTGCCAGCTTGTGATTGAGGTTTTAATTTCCTGTATATCACTTTGAACCTGTTTCATACATTCTATTTCTTTCCTAAATTGCTTATTCAGGGGTTCCATCATTTTTATATTCTGTTCTATTTTTTTAACAGTGTATTCTTTAGAAGCACTTAGTACTTCATTGATTATAGTTATCACTAAATTTTTTAGTTCTGAAATTATTTCTGATCTGATTTCTTCTATACCTTTCTGCAGTTGTTTCTTTACCTCCAACGCTATTATTTCAGGGATATCTGGCATGTGATTTCCAGTTTTCTCAGTGCTAGTGTCTTCTGCAGTTGTACTGGGTGGACTCAGGGCCTGAGACTGCATTTTCTTCCTTCTCTTTGTCATTTTGTATACCACTGGCTTTGACCTTTGGTGTAGAGCTTAGATAAAATTATTACCTTAGCACCTGGTCCGGATCTACAAAGTTCCGATTCCTTCAGGTGGGTGTTGTTTGGATCTGGTTGTTGTGCTGCACTTCTTTCTGCTGCAGCAGTTAGAGTTGAACCCTTTGTGTCTCTCTGGCAAGATGTTCTGCTCCTGAATCAGCTGGGTGGGTCTTGCTTCTAGTCTCTTTGCAGGGAGATCTGCTGAAGGGTTCCTCACTGGGCCTGCACTCTGGGTGGAATGAATATCTGCGGGCCCTGGGTGGTCTCACTCACATGCAGGGCCTGTGCTCTGGGTCTATTCAGGATCCGGCAGGCCCTGGGTGGTCTCACTCCTGTCCTCTGATTCTTGAGAGGCATTTACCAATTCCCTGAAGCAGTTCCATAACCAAGACACCAGCTTCTTATTGCTATTTGCTGCATTTCCCTAGAGTCTAATTTCAAAGATCACCAGAAATCTTAACAGAGTTTCTTATCTAATTTCTGCTATGGTGCGATGTGTTTCATGAATCAATTGCCTATTCATTTGTAAAGAGACCCTAGTAGATCCTACAACATTGTTATTTAAAGGGCATGGGTTCATGAAATATCCCCTGACCACAAGAGAATTAGTGTCCTGTGTTGGTCCAGCAGTACAGTGTGTGGTGAGGTAACCAGAAAGGATCAATGGATATGAAAAGACATTCATCACCTGCCTTGCACTTTCTTTTGAATTCTTTCCTTTTGATTTCTTACCAGACATCTGGACTTATTTTCTGCATCCATGACCCTGACCACATAAGTTATTCTTACGTGTCCTTTTTTTGATATCAAATCCCCCTGTCTAGATACTGCACTAGTTCTCACTGATACCTTGCCCTCGGAATAGGACAGATCTTCCCATTGTTGGCCTCTACAGATCTCCTTACTAAGTTTTTGCAGTATTGATTACAATTATAATAAATATGCATCTTTCTTCCCTAAGAAAGGAATACTTTACTACTCTAATAAAGATACCCTGTCCCATGGAAGGACATGATAATGATGGAAAATGAGGCCAAACTTGTGTATGTCAACTCTTATTCCAGTTTGTTTTATTTCTACTCTGATATGTGTGTCCACTTGCACCTAGGAGGTTTGAAGACTCTTACCTGAATAGGTAGAAAAGATTCCCCCAAAGTAATTCAGGTATAGGACACGGTAACATTTAAATCACTATTCTCCAATGTGATTTCCTCAGGCTTGAAGCTGCCCACCCCAATGTTACTTCACAAAAATTGAGGTCAGCCTTCCTGAACTCGGGTTTTCTCAATTTTTTTAAATTTTCAAAAACTGTTTCTGTTATTAGTTCCAGTAATCCATCTCCTCCCTATGTTTTCTTCTGGCTCTTCGTAAGTAGACATACCTATGTATATCTGTGACCATTTTGGGGTTTTGTTGTTGTTGTTGTTGCTTTTTTTTTTTAATTAGTGGCTTTAGATAAAGCCCTTCTCTTGTCATTGTAATTGTGAGGACATTGTCACTCTGCTATGACAATGACATATTGTGCATGTACATATCAAGGTAGCTCTAATTTATCAATGCATACTTACCTCCATTCCATATTCATGGGTAATGCTTCCTTCCTAAAATTTTGATTCCCTAAACAAGCAACATGACCATTCTATTTCCTAGACAAATTGGTCTAATGCTCTAAAATCTCCTTGGATCACCAAACGCTAGGGTGGAGTTTATCTGCCTTCTCAGCCCTATGCACTTAAATACACCATGCAATCAGGTCATCTGGGATTCAGCCAACTTCACATAAGCCCCGTGAATAATGTGTCTGGCAATTAAGATTGGGGTTCACTATGTATGCAGGACTTGATTTAATTTACTACACTTGCTTTCAAACATTTTCCCTGTGACACAGTTCTCTTTCATTTTTAGAGTCCAAGTCAGGAATAGGCTGTTGCTTTCAATGTCTTCATGTACATGTCCCTAAATCAAACATCACAGAAGAAACATGACTCCTAAATAGGATGAGATAGAGGATTTACTCAAGGGGGAAAAAAACTACTAACACTTTATGAATTTCCAAGAAACGATTATAATTGTAGCATCTGAGGCCTGCTAGATTGATGATAATTTAAAATTTAACTCATTTTTAAAAGTCTACCTCGGGCTGGCAAGATAGCTCAGCAGACTAATCACTTGCTTAGGCAAGTGTGGGGCTGGGGTTTGATCCCTGGTACTGCAAACCACACTGGCCCCACTGACCCTGGCCCTGGGTACGCTGAGCTGGCCAGTGAGACCAGACGTGGTGGCACATGTCTGTAATCCCAGCACTGTGGAGCCTGAGAACAGGACAAGTCCGAGCTGTGTAGTAAGACACTGTAATAAATACATTTAAAAAAAGAAAAAAAGAGGTCACAAAAGTAAGGAATTACTGAGTTGAGGAGAAGGACAGGAGAGGGAGTGGGGAAAGAAGTATCTATGTATGTAAGGAGAATGGTTTGGATAATTGTACTGTGAAGTTCTGCTGGTCTGTGAAAAAGAGCAATTAATGCTTTATTTTTTTGGTCTTTTTTTCACTGTTTTCCCTTTTTTCTCTTCTTAATGTTTTTTTTTTTTTTTTCCGGTACCAGGGATTAAACTCAGGATCTTGCGCTTGCCAGGCAAGTGCTTATTCTACTGAGTAATCTCGCCAGCCCTATCTTCTTAATTTTTATAACTGTTTTTTCTTTTCCAGTTTTGCATGCACATATCTGGTAATCTGAACAACTGATTTGAAGACAACACTGTACAATACAACAAATCCTGCTGAATTCATATTATATTGTTTAATGGAATTCTGCATCATTTCAAATTTTTATTACTATTTTGTATTCTCTTTAAAGTAAAAAAATTAAAAATTAAAAACTAGAGCTCAAGACATTCTTCATGGTGAGATTTCATTATTATAAATGGCAGAATTAAGAAGGCTTCTTTTATGTGTTTCCTTTATCACCTCCACATAATCAAAAGCACTGTAAAACATGAAATAAACTTTTGTCAGGGTAGATATACAAATCTGTGATAAACCTTAGAAAAATAATATCAATAAGTTCTATTCATTGAACATTTATTCAGTCTTGAATCCTAAAAAGAAGCTCTCTCTCTCTCTCTCTCTCTCTCTCTCTATATATATATATATATATATATATATTCACTTATACTTTAAAAGCACATGAAAATGCTAATCATGGTCCCATTCCCAAGTGAGAACAAAATTGGAGTACATAGAGACTAAAATGTTTCACAAAATCATACAAGTTGTGGAAATTAGATCCAAGATTTAAGTCTAGCTATAGTGAACTTTAAAGTTTATTTAATGCAATAGATTAAGTCCCAGTTAGGTGAACAAATGCTAAAATCTATGCAATTTATTTTTAAATGAGTTCAAATAAACAAAGCTCTGCTTTGGTACCTCAGAGTGCTTGGAGATCTCTAGGTGAGGTATTTCAATAGTTGGCACTTTAAGAAGCAACACCAGTGAAGGCTGGAACTTGGAAATGCTGAAGCAAGCCAGGTAAATATAATGAAATTTAATGGACTTAACCTTTGTAATTGAAGGCAAATGAGGTATGTAATTCCAGAGATATTCCCCACTGTCACTTGGAAAATGGAGCTGCCAGTACTGTTTAAGTAGTATTTTATACTCCTGTGAAGTCTACAAAACCAAGAAAGATTTTGGTTTCATGAGACACACCAAAGAGAGAGGTAAAAACTATGGATTTGAGGGGCTTTTTCTTTTACTTACATGCTCCAAGGACCACAAAGGACAGAGACCTAGAGTCCCTCGGCATCAAAGAGCACAGAGTAGGACTAGACTTGTGTATTTGCTTAGTTGAAAAGACCAAATGAATAAATGCCCATGAGTGTGAACTATCTTTGCTGTAAGTCATGCATTTTATAAAATAACTCCAAAGGACCAGGGAGATAGCTCAGAGGCATAAACACCTACCTGGAAAGCACAAGGACCTGACTTCAGGCCCCAGCCCTTGCTGTCTCACCACAAAACCCTGGGGAACCAGATGTGCGGCTCCAGAACCAGGCATGGAGATGCACACTTGTAATCCCATCACTGAGGAAGTTGAAACAGGAGGATCTCTGTCAGTTTAAGAACAGCCTTGGAGCTACAAAAAGTGAGCACAAGGCCAGCCAAAAGTGCATAGCGAGACCCTGTCTCAAAAATAAATAAGTAAATAAATCAATAAATAAATAAATAAAGCAAATAACTCCAAGAATTGTGCCTGACTAAATGATTTTGACCAATTGAAAGAAAGTGAGAGGCAGTATTCAACTGTTCAATTGTAAGCCAATGAAATTTCAATCAATTAAGTTTTCGGTGTTTACAAGGAGGACTTGAAATCTTGTTTTAGATATCAGGAGGTCAGAGGATTGAGGTATCTCAATATATGTTATTCCTCCTGCCATTCAGGAGGAAATTGGCAGAATGACTCTCTGAATTTTACAAATAAAAGATGTACTCAAGTAATTTTCTAAAACAACAATAGCAAAAATAAAACCTTTTTTTTTTCCTTCAGAAAAAGAAAAACACAGTCTCCAAAACAAATAAATCCATAACGATAGACACTGATCTGGAAACAACCAACACACTTCCAGATAGGAGCTGTCCTCAAACTCTTCTAAAGCCTTCAGTCAGTTCACTGAGCAGTCTCCTTACTCCCCAGGTATGGCCAACACCACCCCACAGTCAGCAGTCTACTCAGATGCCTTCAACAACACTAAAGACCCCTCAGCAGACTCCACAGATACCTGCATCCACATCCTCTAGAAGTCTACAAATGTCACAGACACCTTCAGTAACACCATCTGGCAATCTCTCTACTCCTGAGAGGGCTGCAACACTACCCAACCAAGTCCAGATTGTTTTAATGTCTCCAGAAATATCCAGTAAGCGTCAGACTCCACAGATGCCTCTTGCAGCCCCCAGAAATCTGAACACTGCTCAGAAGCCTACGAAAATATCATTTACCAGTCTGAAGATACCTCAGAGCACTCCAAAATGCAAACCCAGCAATACACAAACTCTTCCAAAGGCTACCAAAACACAGACCAGCAGACTGCAGACTACACAGGTCCCTCCAGAAATATCCACATGTCTTCCGACTCTGCACATGCCTCTACCGCCATCCAGCAGTATGCAGACTCCTCAGAAGGCTCCAAAAACACTACCCAGAAATCTGCAAACCATACAGATCCTTCCAGCACCAGCCAGCAGTCTCCAGACTCCAGGGATGCTTCCAGAAGCAATATCCATCAGTTACTCAACCATGGTAAATTTTCTGTTCCCACGGTAGATTGCTAGGGACTGACATCAACTTTATAAGATTTTCTCAGTAAGCCCTTATGATATCTGATGACTTACTTAATTAAATCATTTTGAGTTGCTACTCCAATTTAGCTCTTAGTATGCCTTACTGCATTAGGGTTAATCTATGACTCTGAGTATCTAATGTTCTCTACTTCATGAAATATATTATTAGATATTCATTTGTTTAACTTTATTTTCAAGTGTTAGCTTGCATCTTTTTCAAAACACCTTAGGGTAAAATAGAATATGAAATGAGAGCCACCCAAAATTTATCACTAAGTATTTCCCTTTCATCATTTGTTACACAAAAAAATCTAGAAAATTTAAGATAAGTAGACACATAGACAAAAATGTTAATTAAACTGAACTATCTGATCTCTCCCATCAAATTCCATAATTCAGCATTTATTCTTTTTTGTATTTTTTATGGTGTATATCCAAATAGTACCATTTTCCTCCATACTGGATAATGTCAATTTTTTCTATTTAAAAATCACTTAAAATATCTTCAACTTCCATTCAACAAAGCAGTATATTAATATTATTTAATTGCTTGTGAAATTAAATGATGACTCTATAATTATGAAAATAATTCTATATTATTTTACATAGGTTAATTCGAGTATCCCTATCACTTCAAGGAACATAAAGAAAATATGTGTATCTCAGGTCCTCTTTAATCATCCAGATAGTTTTATAATTTCATCCTCAATCTTGTGTACATTTTCTGAAGATGCTGATGTCACTGTCACAGGGCTCTCTGCTACTGCTTAAATTACATAAGGAAAGAACTATCCTGGTGTTAGGGAGTATCTGACCACCTGGAGCACAACTCAGTGCGAAGGCCCCTCACTTACAGGACACAGTCCGCATAACTTTTCAGATTGGAATCACACTCAGCCTTCTGGTCTACGGAGGCAGCTAGCAATGTGCCCCTGGATCACAAGGATCACACGGTTCCATCTGCTCTTCTTCTTCCTCATCATGAGCCTCTCAACCAACACGAAATGTTGTCCTGAAATTCTCAAATATTGAGAACTCCAAAAAGAGTGGTATTTGAAGCAAAATTCCTTCAGAACCTGACTGCTGTTTCTATGACTCTTCTCCACGCCAGCTATTATTCAAGCTGAAGCGCATCTAACTTGGTTCTGTTCAGATTAGGAGAGTTATTTAGGTTCTTCCTGCGGTAGCCTTCCTAACCCTTGTACAGAATAGCACTGACTTGTTGGAAAGGGCTTGGTGATATGTGTGTTAGAAAATGCTCCTGTTAATTTGGATTAAAAGCATCTGGTATTACTATCTATATTTTTCATTTCTTCTGTTAGCTAAGCAATAGTACATCAAACACTACTTTCTCCCAGTTCCCTATTTAAGGTGCTGTTTGAGCATAGAAACCGAGACTGAGATCGCTCTCATTAGACAGTCACTGTGAATTTCCTTAATTGTGCTTGTGTTTTCTTGTGTACTGTCCAAGCAGAAACCAAGGCTGAAGTGTGTGCCCAGTGAGCCTTCTGAAGAAACTGGTTACCAGCCGAACTGCAAAGAAGTAATGGTGCTGAGAGTGACAGAACCATTTATCTATAACTTTAAAGAACCAGAGAACATGATGCTTCATGCCACTGTAGCTACAGAGAACGAATTCTTCCGAGTGAAAGTGTTTGACATGGCAGTTAAGGACATGTTCATCCCCAAAAATGTCCTTTCTATATCACATTATCATGGTCGAGATGGATTCCTGGAGATATACAAGTACTCAGCTGTGTCTAATGTGAGTGCTGACCGAAGTTTGAACATCTCTAGTACTCTGGTTCAGCGTGCGAACGCAACTCCTAAAATCAGCCAGATTTGCTTGCCATGTAAAAGCAAATATGTGAATGGTACATTTACTGTGTGTAAGGTAAGTCAAAGCATGACTTTTAAAATTTCTTATGCAACCCCAGATTTTAAATCTGGACCCTGCAGATTGCACTTTGGCCAATATACTGAACATAGGAAACAAGTTCCCTTATTGTAGACAGGTGAGTGGAATCTCCTTGCTTCAGAGTATGGGACAGTCAGGCTCTTAATGTTCCTCTTCTGTAGTTGTCTCCATGCAAGTTTAAAGATGAGATTCACCAGGAATCCTTAGTACTTCACCAGCTATGTTGATCAATTCATAGTATCCTTGTGGAGGACAGTGCATAGCCCAACCTGCATCTATGACAACTAAATTGTGGATAAGAAATTGCCTCCCAAAGCTGGCCTCTGGTTGTAATGCCAAGAATAAGAAATAAAATTATTCCTCCATACTGGAAAACAACAGTATCCAATGGTAAACCAAGATTCTGGTCATTGTACTCTAAGTTACTCTCACTTATTCTCGTTCATTACTTTTCAACAAGAAATTGTTGAGGAACTTATTTCTGCATTAAATAATAGGAGAAACGTAGAAGTTGATGAGACTAGAGCAGTGGTGGCAAGCTGATGGCAAACAGGCACTGTGGGCTCTCAGAGCCCTCTCTGCCAGCACCTGAGCCAAGTTGCCTCAGTATCATTCTAACAACCAAGCATTCTGGTTGAATTCCAGTGTTCGCACTTGGTGATAAATAAATGTATTTGGACTTCCAGCTTGGGCAGTGTCTAGAAGATGCACCACTAGTATACTAGAGAAATGTACTACATCTCTCAGTATATTGAGACCATAAATTGAAAAGAAGTTTGGAAAATTCCATCACAGTACTCCCTGTACATAGTATCTTAACTGTCTTTTGAAAATATTATTTCACATACAATTATATTGTCTATGAGAGTGTTGATTTTTTAATTTTGTCTATATTATTTTCTCTTTATCTATTTAAATGACTGTATGTACATATCAAATTAGTAAAGTAAGATACCAACCAAAACAATAGGACAGATGGTCTAGATTAATAAATATTTGAACAGATTCTAAAATAGTGCATATGATTTTTACACATGTGGGTGTGATTTGTGCATTTCCCCCTAGTATATGAAACTTAAAGAATCTGAAAGCTCCAGTAGATACTCTGACAGGAAAAGAAACCGTTTAAGGGGAAGTAACAACTAAGATGATGGAAAAGAAAAAAAGAAAGAAGGAAAGAAAATCTGTATGTACATGCAGACACACAGGAGAGCATGGGGAATTTACTGCTGGCTTCTACTGGTCTGGTGAAAGACACAGTTAATTTTTCCATTTTTGTCCTCTTTTTAATTTTTTAGACCAATTTTGCCTGCTTATTTCTGGTAATATGAACCACTAATTTGAAGACAATGATGTGCGATGTAACAACCATTGTTGAATTCCTATCATTGTACTTAGTGAAATTCTGTATCACTTCTACTGTTTTTCACTATAATTATTATCTTTAAAAAATAGAAACAAACATTCTAAAAGAAGAGTGAATAAATACAGTATAGGTGAGTGGAATCTTCTTGCTTCAGAAGAAATTATAATTAAGGTAGCATAATCCACTTAAGGAAAATCGGCGGTATCCTTAAGTTCTGTTTCTTTCCATTTAACTGTCCATTCTTGTTTTGCAAATTTGTGATGTATGTAATGTTACACATTACCGTGTTTCTGTCTTTGCTTTTGTTTTCTTGCTCTTGTTTTTATTCTTCAAAATGAAAGAAAATTATAATTTTTTAAAAAAGAAAATTTGCAGTACTTTTTGTCAGTCCCCACTGAGCTGCAAATGGTCTTTCTTTGCTTTCATGGAAATACTAATCAATAAATCCATCAAACTTATCAGATTTTTCTGTAGATTCCTTATGAAATTTCATGTATGCTGACATGGAAGCAGCACAAATTAGAAGGAAAATTCTAGCTCTGCTTTTTTTTTGGGGGGGTGGGGGCTGAACTGGGGATTGAACTCAGGCCCTTCCACTTGCCAAGCAAGGGATTATTCTACTGAGCTATCTCTCCGGCCCCTTAGAAGAATAATTCTAGAAAAGTTGCACAGATAAAGATTAAGTAAGCAGAGTGTCAGGAAGGTTTCAAATGAGAGGATTTCCCTCAAAGTATCTGACCCAATTTGGTTTCTCCAATCTTGAATTTACAGTTCCATTTACCTGTTGGAAAGCAGCATTGCCACTAACATCTTGCATTTTTCAGAGCAGTGAACATGTCTGATATATTTCTCAACAAATATATGTTGACATTCTTTTGCAGAAAACAGTGAAGGGAGAATTCATGTATTATGACATAGAAGATAATACAGGAAAGATGGAAGTTGTGGTCCATGGATGGTTGAGAAACAACTACTGTGAAGTAGGTGATAAACTTAACCTCACTTGCTTTGAAGTGGCCTCAAGTGGGGGCAGCTGCCAGCTGAGATCTGTACTCCACAGTCACCTCAAGGTGAGCATCTCACGGGCCCAGCATTTTTCCAAGTGGAAACTTCCATATTTTATCCTGGGCTTTAGAAATCTAAACTGGTGTCCTTACACAGCTCAACCTGGTGAGAAAATTAACTTTGCCTTTTCTTACACATAAAGTAACATCCTGTCCATCTTCTTTTTAATAAAGGTCTTTCAATCATATTGAAGAAAAATTCAGGGATATTCAAAGTTCTTCACTATAACCTAAATAATAATTATTTATCAAAACAAAAAGATAATTTAATAGGAATTTGGGATAAATTCAGGAAGATTTGTGTATATTCTGACCATATTTTTTACTATTGGTTTAAAGATTTAAACAATAGGCATCTCATGGTTATTGTCTATAAAGTACAGGAAATATTTTCAGCCACAGACGTCTACCAGCAGAGCTCATAATAAATCTAAATTAGCAAGGATGCACTAAGAAAATCACAACACAAGGTTATCAGCCTTTAGAGAAACACTACATGACAAAGCTCAAAATCTATGTCATTTCAATGTAAAGAGTCATGTGGATTCACAGAGCACTAAAAGCCACTAAGGTTGGAAGGCAAATCAAACAGAGATCAAATGTAACTGCTCACCTACTCAGACGTACACAGATGCCCTGCTCCTGGCTTCTCCAGTTCTGGTTTCACCCCAGTACAGTCCTCCAAACTTTCCCTCACAGCAGACACAGCAGGAAGTGCTTTCGCTCCTCTGCCCACTCTCCTGCCCAAGGAGGATCCCCCACCCAGCTCTTGCCATTTTGGCTCCAGCAGTCCCTCTCTTCCTCTCCTCTGTCCTGCTCCTCTGGAGCCCTTGCTGGCTAGGGGTAATCAGCACATTTCCTGGTCCTGAGCAAGGGGCAGAGTGTGACTCTGAGACAGGTATTCAGGAAAGGATACACCGGGAAAGGCAAGAAAGGAGATGTGGCCCACGGTGAGTCTCAGCACTGTTTTTTAAAATTTCTTCCGCCAACCCAGATTTTGAGAAAAGGGTAAAATGTGTGGGCAGCTATACCCCTACTGATCTGTGTTTATCATTCTCTTCTTTAAGGTCAACAAAACCAGGAAAGCCAAGATGTAGCCACTCAATTCTAACACAGATGTGGAAAGTATACAGAAGTACTGCAAACCTGAATGCCATTGATCATAATATTGCTGGAAATAGGATGCGTGTTTAGGAAGAAAATATAGGATCCAAGTATAGGAAGAAAGTATGTATAAATACCAGCTCTTAGCTGGTCATTGTGGTACATGCCTAACATCCAGAACTTTGAGAAGCTGAAGAGGAAGGATTGAAATTTGAAGCCCAGCCTAGGCAATTTATACACTTGGCATAATCTTGTCTCAAAAATATTTGTTGTAATGTATCACTGCAAAGATCCTGAGTTCAATCCCCAGTATCACCACCAAAAATAAACAAAATGAAAACAAAAAATATAATCAGAAACAGAAAAAAACAGTAAAAGTGTAAAAGCAGTTGTACAAAATAGATTTTTAGAAATGATTTTATCTTATTCCTTATGTAGTTTTTTTTTATATTTTCTAAATTCTGTGTATGAATCTATAACTTTGATAATTTAAAAAAAATAAACTTCTATATCTAAAGCAGTGCTTCTCCAGAAGTCTTTTTATATTTCATTTGCATTTTAGCAAATAATTTATGGCCCATAATTCAGGATGAGGCATCCAAACTAAATGCAGTACTTCAATTTATGAATACTTCAGGTGTAGTCTTTAAGGGCTAGACCTGGAGATGCAGAAACAAACTGTGTGTTGTTTAGGGCAGCTGGGCTCATGGGCATGTGGGGACTGAAATCTGGTCTAAGCTTCAGTTGCCAGGACAAGTGTCCTGGGAAGGTTAATCAGGTCAGGATAAAAGCATCTTATCAGAATTATTTTTTCCTGGAGGGGCAATGACGGTTCCACTCATTTATTCCAATACCAGTGGCTCTGCTGTAGCTCTCCCATGTCCAGTACACGTGTGTGGATCCAGCAGGACTCTGCCCCAGGCACGTCAATTTTAGGCCAAGACTGAAGTGGATTTCCAATAACAGAAGCAGATATATAGAATGATCATTTGTATTTACTGATTACATATGTGTTATCTGGTATTTTGCAATTATTCATGTCACTCAGTCTTCACCTTATTTCTTTTATTTATAGTTTTTTTTTCTTTTTTACTCTATAATAAGAGGGGGAAGCAACAAAAAGGTAAAATCACTTTCATAATGATACTTACATGGTAAATTTAGAATCTAGCCTAGCCCAATTTGAGATACATAATTTAGAGAGAAGAGTGTAAAGTTGAGGGAAAAAAAATTGAGGAACAGAATATTGAAGCTGACAGCCTCATTGGGGGACCTGAGGGATGTTTTTGCGGCAGAGATCTCCAAGTGAAAGCAGGCAGCATGGAGCAGAACATAGCAAAAGAGCCCGTGATTGCAAGAGCCCCCTGTGTCTTTATTACATAATTCTTACATAGGTTCTTATCACATACTCACATTCTGCCGTAGTGCTGTAACCAGCGCATGCATGTTGACCTGTGCTGAGTCATAGTAACCTAACTGCATCCCGCCATCTGCCTGCACTAGAGCAGGGTGTCACATCCTCAGGCAATCTTAGATGCCCTTGAGCTTTGAAGCAGTCTGAGTGATTCCACAGAAGTTCACTACTGTAAAGGACTAAGGGTGATAATGCCAAACTTATATAGGAAAAAAAAGCACGAAAGTTCTACTCGTAGGTTCTGGGGCCAAAGATGTAAGGAATAGCAACACATTATCTCCTTTCTCATTTTGTGTCTTTTATTATAGTAGGCTTAGAGGCTGATTAGGCTAACTAGACATCTTTCTGTCTTCTTGTCTGATACTATTCTAATACCATACGCATGTGTTTATTTGTATTTATGCATGCATAGTTTCTTTTAGTATATGTTCTGCTGAACTGAGCACCATGAATAGTTTTATGCATAACTAACTGTACATGTAAGTTAAGGAAGGGAGGGAGGGAGGAAAGAAGGAAGGGAAGGAAGGAAAAAGAGAAGGAGGGAGAATTTATTAATTTTTTTTGGCGTTCCAGTGAACTTCTATTGAGATAAACTGACAAAAGTCAAGATTTTTCCAACCATCTTTTCTGAACTTTATAAAACTCAGCAGACTCTGATCCATATATACGTACATACAACGTAACACAAATGTAATTTTTATTCATTAAAAATGGGAGAAATTTTCAGTGTCCCTAGCCACAAGGAGCTAGTTCCACTGAGCAGTGAACAGGAGAAACTTAAATTTTGATAATTTTTTATTCTTTAACAATACAAAATAGTTCTTGCTTTGAAAATCTGTAACACATGTATTGTTGCATGGTACCATTTTGTTTTTCTGCCATTTGTTTTTTTGTTTGTTTTTATTGTTTTGTTTTTACTCTTCAAAGTAAAATAACTTTTTAAAAAAGAATATGAAATATTAATAGAAAAAACAAATTCAAAGTGATACAAAATTTTACTAAATAAAGTAATAGGAATTCAACAATGGTTGAAGTGCATTATCATGCATTACCTTCAAATTAGTTGCTCAGTTTACCAGCTATAAGTGTGTGAGATTGGTTTAAAGAAAAACCAGAAAAAAAAAAAACAGTTGTAAGAAATTCAAAAGAAAAAAAAAATTAAGCATTTACTGTTCCTTTCAAAATAATAGCAGAAATCGACAGTATTAATGCTCATAAGCTAATGTATCTAGGTTAAATTTTTAACAATAGAATTTTTATTTTATTTTATTTTTTATTCTTTGTATTTTAGGGAAGGGTCTACAGGGTGTTCAGGGTCTCACTACTAGATCAGACTCGTAATGATTCTCCTGTTTACAGTCTCCCAGATGCTGGGATTACAGGCATGCAAGACCATGCCCAGACTCAATTTTTCTTATCTTTCTTACTTTTTAAAAATTTTATGTTAAAGTGGGCCAGGAAGATAGCTTGGCGGCATAAGTGCAAGGTTCCAAGTTCAATCCCTGGTACCACAAAAAATAATAATAATATAATAAAGACAGTATAAGATTAAATTATCAACTTCATGAGTAAGACATGCAATTTTAAAATCCTTGAATTAGTCTACATGGGTATTTTTTAAAGTTTCATTTTGTTTCTTATAAGCAAAGGGTAAACATTTCAGAGAAAATTTTTAGAAATAAAATGAAACAAATATTAAAAACACAATTCTGTGTTTCAACTTGAATATATTCTGGTTTTGTTACAGCATAAAACAATTACAATGAAATTCACTGAATTAATGCAACTTTTGTGAGTTTTTACAAAGATATGGAGTCAGGTTACCACCATATAAATCAAGGTATAGAATAGTCCAGCCTAATAGCAGTATGTATCCGTGCATTTCTGTGGTTTATATTTTTTAATTGTTGAGTGAAATTCCATTGTGTGGATACACCAAAGTTAATCAATTCCCAGGTGAGAGAGAATTACATATAAAATATCCCTCAAAATCCACAGTTTTTTGTGTGAAATTACACTATCATTTCAAGTATACAAAAAATTTAGTGAGATTTTTAGGGTCACATGATAAGTGTATGTTTATAAGAAATTGTAGAACTATGGGAGAACTATAACATTTTTCACTTCCTGTAGTGATTGAGAGTTCCAGTTTCACTTCTTTCTTAGAATTTAGTGTTGCTGAGGCATATAAAACTTCTACCCCTTTTGCAAAATATTTGTTCCTTTTCACAACCCTACCACCCAGCATTGAATAACAGCTTTAGTCACTTCCTGTTCTCAGTGTTGGCCATTGCTGATCTAATTTTAAGTTACATTTTAACAACTAATAAATGTATCTATGCAATGTCTTGATCATTTGTATGCCTCTAAAGATATACAAAATGGTACTCAATGAACTGAAAGTAGCTGTATATCTATCCTCTCTCTTGTGTATATATTTTCCACAACAGAATCATCTTTTGAGAATAAAAGATTGTACTAATATTATTTAGGCAAGATATCATGTCTGCATCTTGTCCTCTGAATAACTACTACTGAAGACAATATGCAATGTATTAATTATTGTAACCATCCTACTAACCTGATTTGAAACTGTTTCATTGCTATTTTATCTTTCTTTTCTCAGTAAAATGAATTTTAAAAAGAAGAAATAAAGACAAATTGTATTTGGTATTATTTTGTGTACTGCTTTTCCTTCTACATACCATGCTTTGTCCATTTAAAATCAGTATTGGTTTATTTCATACTATTGAATTTTGAGAGTTCTTCATAAATTCTAGATTTGTAAGGTCTTTAGCAGCCATGTGATTAACTAATATTCAGCCTAAATCTATTGCTTGCCTTTTAGTCCTCTTCTGGTAGTTTTTAAAGAATGCTTTTGCATTTTTATAAAGCTCAAATTACTAAAATACACTTTATGTCAGTTGTACTTTTGGTGTCCTAAATAATTAATCTTTGCCTAAGTCAGGATCTCAGATATTTTGTATTGTCTTCTCTGGTCATGCTTTTGTGGCTGCTGTTTTGTGTAGTTTTAGCTTTTTATATATAGCCAACGATTGTTTTTTGAGTTGATTTTGTACTGAGAGCAAAGTGTAGCTTAGGTTCATTATGTTTAAACATGAATATCAAACTGTACCTGTGCTACCTGTAAAAAGTCATGTTCCTTATACATAGCTTTATTTGTACTTTCATAAAAAACTGAACATCTTGCATGTGTAGGCTATTTTTTCTTTTGCTGCCCTATATTCCTAGCCTTTTTCCAAAACCCCCAAAATATTGTATTATCTACATTTCTTTTATTTACTTTTTTAATCATTGGCTAAGGTATAACAAAATACAACTTTGATTTTTTTAAGAGTTCCCAGGTAGGTTATGTTTTTTTTTTTAAATAATTGTATTGAGAAAAAAATAGCAATGAGACAATTTCACAACCGATTACTAGCACAGTTTTAATAATTAATACATTGTGTATTGTTGTCTTAGTGGTTATTCATTGTACAAGATGCAGACCTGATATCCTGTCTCAAACACTATTAGAACAAACCTCTCTATTCATTGAATTAAGAGAATGGAGCTGTATATCTATCCTATTTTGAGAATACAGATACAAAATGGTCGTTCATTTCGATCACACTTTTTTGGTTAGTTTTGTCAGAGAAGGGCATTCCATTGTCGCTTAAATACTACAGGTGCATGAATTCAGCAAAATATCACAATATAGTCCAGTGGTCCATAATGGTAGTGGATTTTCCGTAAGACTGGCAATGTCCAAAGTTATTGACTTGAGCCTTTTACAGCTCAGCATGTGAGTATGATTTTACTTTTTATACTTCGTTTTCATACTTTTCTGCTGGGTAGTTAAGACCAAGATAAAGCAAGAAATATATAACAAGAAATACAACTTTTGTACCTGATAAGATCAGTCAAATCCCCTCAGGAATTAACCTGAAAGCCTGTACTGCAGTTTGTAGATCCTTTATCAGTGTCAGCTGTGTGGATGAATCACGGCCATTGCTTGACCAATTTGCTCTCTGTGAAAGCCTGAATGTTTTCTCTCCAGGTGATTCTCCCTAGGCACACTCTACATCATCGATCACTTTCCTCTGTGGCCCCATAATCTCCTTGATTAGAAAATTTTGGGACACAACTGAGTTACATGATGTTACAGTACAGGTTCTCCTATGTCCTGAGTCTTCACTGACCTTGAAATGCCAGGGCCAAAATGTTGGCTCTTTTTCAGTCCTTCTTTTCCTCTAATTTTTGGCCTGCAAACTTAGGGTTTTAACCCTCCAGAAGAGAGGCTTATTATTATTAACCTACAACATAGGCAGCTGAGCTTAACCTCACTATCTGTCTGGATATTAAACATCTTAGACATAAGATGGAACAGGTATTTTCCACCAAGTATTGATATGCTAAACTTTAAGTCCCTCCAGAATACAAAGGAAGATTAAAAAGATAAAACAATATTTTAAAAAATAAGAAGCATTTACATATTTTCACACAGAAATTTAGAAATCTAACAATATACAGCCTTGTAGCAGGACAGTCCTGTGACTTTTCTATATTGTTTTCATTTATTATGCTTTCTTGTACAGAACCCACTTTAGAATAATAAGCTGTTTCCCATGTTGAATAGGATCTTGTGACAATACACTTCTGATTCTTCTTTTTCATATTTGTTGATACTGCCGCCATAGATTTTGTTTTTAAATATCCTTTAAACATGCAGAATCTTTTTTTTTTTAACATGCAGTATCTTGATAACAGTACGGGAGAACTGTGACTCATGGGCCATTTGCTCTTTTTATACAGCATGCTGCCTGTTTGCAAACAGCCTCCCCAAGATAAAAACGGTTTTTGCACTTTTTTCATATTTCAAAAAAATCCAAAGGATAATATTGTGTGACATATAAACATTACTTGAATATAAAATTTCAGTGTGTATACACAAAGTTTTATTGGAATGCAGACATGCTCCCTTATTTGTAGATTGTTCACAGCTGTTGCAACCAACACAGGTCTAAGCAGCTGTAGTGGAGACCATACAGCTAAATGCAGGCACAAGCATAAACCAGGCCCTGCTTTTAATAGCGGTTTTTTTTCCTGGTACTTAAAAATAAGAACAAGTAAACTCATTTTTATATTTACTTGTATGATTTCTCAGTGTGCTTCTTTAATATAGGTACATGTTTCTTTCTGGTGTTATATTCATTTATCACAAACACTTTCCTTTTCTTTTAATTCACTTCCACTATAAGGGGTCAGCCAAATAGCTCAGCAGATTAAAGCACCTGCAAGCAGGCACAGGGGCCAGGGGTTCGATCCCCAGACCTGCTGTGTCCATCCCCGCCCAGGGGCACACTGAGATGGCAATTGAGACTGGACATGGTGGCGCACCCCTGTAACCCCAGCTCTTGGGAGGCTATAAACAGGCAGATCATTATGAGTCCGATCTAGTAGTGAGACCCTGAATAGTAGACCTTTCCCTAAAAATACGAAAAAAGAAAAGAAAGCAAAAAAGAAAGAAAGAATACAGAATTTCACTAAACAAAATAATAAGAATTCGACAAAAGGTTGCTGTGTTACATAACATTGTCTTCAAATTAGATGTTTAGATTGCCATATATAAGCATGTAAATTGGTAAGAAAAATGATAAGAAATTAAAAAGGAAAAGAAAAAATAATTCACTTCCACTTTAAATAAATGATCCCTTTTTATTTGCCTGAACACATCTTTATTTATTTTTCATGTTTGAATATAATTTTAAAATCCTTGAATTAGTCTGCATGTTTTTTTTAGTTTCATTTTATTTATTATAAGCAAAGGGTAATTATTTCAGGAAAAATTTTTAGAAACAAAATCAAATAAGTATTAAAACTACCACAGTTCTGTATGTCACCTTTAATGTATTTTATTATAGTATGAAATGTCTATAATGAAATTCACCAAATTAATAATATAAGAAAGTAGCTCCATGGTCAAGCTACTTTATGGGGATTAGAATTCTAATTTGACAGATATTTTTGTCATTCAGAATCTTTAAACACATTAACTCATAGTCTTCTCACTTGGAAATTTCCCAATAAGAAATCTGCTGCGATTTTTATATTTGTATAAATCCACATGTGTCTTCTCAAGTGTAGCTCACTTCAAGATCTTTGGTTTGTTGGTGGAATCATTTCAAATCTAAAAAAACTTCAGCACAGCAATGGAAACAACCAATAATAGCAACAGACAACCTACAAAATGAGAAAAAAAAAAACATTTAATGGTTACTCATTGGACAGAGGACTAATATGTAGAATACATGAGGAAGTTAAAAAAAAAAAAAAAAAAAAAAAAAAAAAAAAAAAAAAAAAAAAAAGCTCAGCAAGTAAAAGATCCAGTCATAAAATGGGCACTTGAAATGAACAGACATTTCTCATAAGTATAAATGCTTAATAAATACATGAATAATGTTCAACATCTCTGGCCATTAGCGAAATGAATATTAAAAGAACACTAAGATACCATCTTATGGGCTGTGGAGATAGCTCAATGGTCTAAGTGCCTGCCTAGGCAAGCACAAGGACCCAGGTTCAATCCCCTGTACCACAAGCCGTGCCGGCCCTGCCCCTGGGTGCGCTGAGCCAGCCAGAATCAGCTACCAAAACTGGGCATGGTGGTGCATGCCTGTAATCCCAGTGCTGGGGAGGCTGAAACAGGAGAATCTCTAGGAGTCCAAGCTGCATAGTGAGACCCTGTACAAAATACATTTTTAAAAAAAATTAAAAACAAATAAATAAAATATACCACCTTCAGAAAGAATCAGTATTATTAAGAAATCAAACAGGAAGCTTTCCACATTGGTGGGAATATAAGCTAGTACAAGCTCTATGGGACTCAGAATGGTGATCCTCAAAAGTTACAAGCTACAAATTCTGTTTAAGGCCGGCCCAGGGCACCATGGCAGCTGGAAGCGGTCGCAGTGGGCGGCTGAGGGTCCTGTTCTTGCAGTTTCCCCCAGACCCCATTTTTTTGGTATCTCCTGTGGTGCTTGTTAATCATTCAGCCTGGACAAACACTGTTTTTGAAGTCAATGGGGAGCAGTCCTGCCAGGGGAGAGAGACCCACACTGAGGACAAGCTACTGGGGCACGACCAACATTAAGCAGAACAGGAACAGGAAAGAAAGAAAAAATGCAGATGAACTGGGGGACTGGGAATCACCAAAAACAAACTGACTTTAATTTTTAAATTGAATTAAAATCAATAAAAATCAGATCCTTTCAACTATGAAGTTAAAATTCTATCCTTAAAATTACCTCCTTAAAATGGTTTAAGGAGACTTCTTTAAGATAAAAATAATCATAGGAAAGTATGGACATCAAATTCCATAGAAAATGCTTATAACAAAAGAGAATAAGAATAAATTCCGAGGGTCGGGGAGATGGCTCAGTAGAATAAGCGCTTCTTTGTCAAGTGCAAGGACCTGAGTTCAATCACTGGTTCCGCCAAAATAAAAAAAGAAAGAAAGAATAAAATTCCACCAGAAGACATGTATACCAGAAGACCATGGGCACTAAGCAAATCAAAACTACCACCTACTATTTCAAAATAAGCCAAAAGATACTACTAAGAGTATCTTCTAAGGAACAACTGTATAAATCACAATTAGAAACATGAGTTGAATTAGCAGTGACAAATTCTTTGTGAGATACTCAAAAGTAACCCGAGGATGAATAAAAACAATTAATCATGCCTTAAAAGAAGGAGACAAAAAAGAAAGATTTTAAGGTTGAAAAATAATGAAGAGACAAAACAGCTTACAGAGAAAATAACAAATACTGAAGATAGACAAAGGAGATCCAACCTGAAATAATCAGAGTCGCTGAAAGAAGAAAAAGGATAAGGAAAAAGAGCAGATACTATAAATCATAGTTTGAAAGAACTTCCTTGACATT